CCAAACCAAGAGACAAACAGCCTGGGACCGAGGCAGTTGAAGATTTAAAACTGTCTCATGTGACAAGGCTGGGCAAGCTGCATCTCCACATCGCAACATTTGATCAACAGCAAACCACACCTGTTCTGTAACCAGCCCCTGCGTTGCTTTGCCGACGGCCTGGAGAAAGAGGGCTTTGTTCCCAGGCATTTCTTGAAATTGGGAAGCAGGCTGAGAGCAAAAAAGCTGGATGAGAGCAAAGCATACCAATTTTGAATTTACATTCATCCAAGTGTGCTGAACAATTTTCAGGGACTGCTGCTGATGTATTGCAGCACCAATGTAGCGAGATGCGCACAATGGCTACGTGAGGTTTTGTAGAATGGTTCTGTCTGATTAATCCAAATATATCCAGATGACAGGAAAGTCATTTGAGAACGCTTAAGTTCCAAAAAAGGTTTTGCATGGTTTTGCAAGGTTTTGCCTCAAATAGATCCAAATACCAGAAGTTAATCTTATCAGGCTTATGCATTGATTACAAATCCTTGCGAACCACGTACGCGTGATCCCCGCATTGGCACCTTTGGCGGGAAGGAACTCCCCCGTGGTGGCGCGAAAGCTGTATCCAGTCAACTCTGCGGGCATCAGCCCAAATGACTGGCGCGTTTCGAGAGGAACTGAGCACTGGTGACCCTTGGGAGCAATGATGAGCTATGGAATATGGATGAAAGTGACGAAAGCGGGTTGATCAATGTTGATCATGGATCATGTAGTGTTGCGAGTGATATAGAGTCTTAGCATGTCATCTGAGGGTCTGAGGGTCGAATAATGATGAATAATGTCCAATGTCACACTGCGGTGGCTACGGAACATGTGTAATCATACAAATATACACAGACATATATAATATATTTCTTACATTCTACATTGCATTATGTTCAACCAACTGTCATTCAGTGAGACACCTTGGATCACCTTGGATCCAAGATTCCGGTCCCAATTGTGCGAAAACAGAAACCACCTTGGAGTGCCTTATGAAGTCTGTAGGGCCCTCAAATTGCAGAATTGGTATTTGCTGAACGCTGAAGGTTCCAATGGCCTAACTTGTTTGCTGGAAGGGCAACGTACCCCCGCTATATCCAATCACCCGATGTCAAACACTCTTAGAGCGTAGAGATTGAAGGTCGCTATCCCAAACTCCATTCAATGGATTGGTTTAAGACGTTCAAGGGCAAATCTACAGGAAACCATGTTTCTTGAACCCCAAATATGTGGCTTCCTGTGGATTTTGCATCCAATAGCCTCACCGGTTCGAAGCTCCGGTCCAGAGGGGCTGGGAGCCATTGACTTTTGGGTCCTGCGACTATTGGCAGGAGAAAATGCTTCTGCCTGGAAACAATTAACCAAAGTTTGTTGATGAATCATGGTATCATCGTGAATCATGGTCAATCATCATTTTCCCCACTAAAATGGCCTGTTTGAGTCCAGTTCCCATTTTTCAGACACGCCAGAATATGCAGGTGAGCGGCGTCAAACCATTTTGTTGGCCAGTAGAACCCCCTATAATCGTGAATCGTAGTGGTGTTCAAAATCATCTAAACCTTAGTGACTTAATGAATTTCAGAGGGAATCACATTGCCCGCAAAATCTGCCACTGAAAATCTTTGAAAAAACATGTATGTCTTTTGGTCGTTTTCAGAGTATCAACTTCTAATTGCTTGACCAACTCCACCTTGACCAAAGTTGTTTCAGGGTTTTCATCGACCCTGAGTCATGGGACCCCCATTTCTAGGGATGCTGCACAATTCCCATCTTCAAAACCTCACCTGACGTGCTGAAAGGCCAAGCTTGAGCTTTGCGTCATCATAGCCATTGAGTCGACTGCCTGAAGGCCACGAGGCGGCAACATCTACACATGTTTGACAACTTCTTCCAAACAACAATGCGACTACATATTTTATATGGCCGTGGATCAAGAAAAGGGTATGGATCATTCCGTCCACAGTATACGGAATGAAGTATTTGAAGTATTTTCAGGTGTATGTCCTGCACTCAGTGTGGAACAAGGACACACGCTATCCCAAGATCAGTCAAGCCATGTCGCAGCTGTTGGCCAAGGATCTGCGACTGGCTCCTCAGGAACTAGAACAGGGAGGGACGCACCGCCTCAGCTAATCCATAGCTTGAAGCCCCAGGACATTTGATGCACAGGCTCCGGTAATCAGACATGGCAAGGGGAAACCTCCTGTAAATTTACATTTAATGTGACCAACCATCTGTGAATGGAATATGTTTCATTGCCAAATTTGACAACTCGAGGGTAACCATAACTGCCACCCAAGTTGTGAAGAAACCACAGATCAAACATGCAATAGTTGATCTGCATGCTGTTTGGCAAACCATTGTTGAAACTTAAAGCCAATCCTGAAAGTATTGGTTACACCATCATTCCGGGTCGGGCTGGCATAGTATTTTAACACCGCCAGCCATCGGTCTGAGCAGCCCATTCTTGGATGCCCCCAGGATTCGTAAGAAAACTTGTAGCCCATTAATCCGACCCACATCCAAGCGGGAAAATTCCATCCAAGTCACTGAGGTATAGTTTCGGATGTCCCCCCCCCTTGTAACAGCCAAATAATGGATTTCCACATATCAGAGAAGCAAAATGAAGCACCAGGAAAATAGCCCAGAATGACATTAACTTTTCGGAGCCTAGGTAAGAAATTTCATCATTCCATTTGGTGCTTTCTAACCCTTTATGTCTTGGTCCTCTTTTGCCTTGGCATTTGTTTCATCAGGTGGCTTGGAGTTGGTGTCCAGCTCATCATTCTTTTCATGATTCTCCCTCCAAGAATCCTACCACCATATCACATGTCATTCTCTAAGGTGCTGTCCTGTCTCCAATTCTGTCTCATTGGTCTCCCCCCAAAAGTTACCAGACTGGGATCCCCTATATTGCTTTGACATCCCATTGCCTTGACATCCCATGGGCTGTGACATCCCTTTGCTTTGGCATCCCTTTGCTTTGACATCCCAGACATGTGGCATAGGTTGTGTTGTGTGATCATTTGATTTCAAAAGTGATTTGGGCCATGGGCCGCATAGATCTGATTCTATGACATGTTGCGGTCAGTCACACGGTATGGTCGGCCATGCAAAATCCTAAACCCTAAATCCTAAACCCTAAACGGCCCTAAACCCTAAACTCATGCCGGTAAATCGGACATAGTTTAATGTTGATTGATGCAACAACGCAAAGTAAAAATCCAAAAAAAACACAAGGAGAGGCCACAAACGGAGCACCAGCAGAGGCACCAGAATGGACCAAACGGAGCACCAGGAAAGGTGCCGAAAAACACCTTTGGGAGACAGCCTGTCCACGGTAAAGTTGGCCAATTTCGGCTGTCCTTGTCGCCGTGTGCGCTTTGCAAAAAAACCACAATCAGAGACCACAAACGGAGCACCAGAGAGACCAGAGGTTTTGCCAAAACGGAGCACCAGCAAGTCCAATCAGAGAGCACAAATGAAGCACCAGAAAGTACAATCAGAGACCACAAACGGAGCACCAGAGAGACCAGAGGTTTTGCCAAAACGGAGCACCAGCAAGTCCAATCAGAGAGCCCCAGAAAGCACAATCAGAGACCACAAAAGGAGCACCAGAAAAATCAGCAAAAAATGTGTTTTTTCTAGAGATTTCCATTTACACTTGATTTTAATTGGCCAGCTTACCCAGCTCTCCCAGTACTACTTTGTACTACAAAGCTTGCACAAAGCACTTCCCAGTACTACTTTGTACTACAAAGCTTGCACAAAGCACTTCCCAGTACTACGTTGTACTACAAAGCTTGCACAAAGCACTTCCCAGTATTACTTTGTACTACAAAGCTTGCACAAAGCACTTCCCAGTACTACTTTGGACTACAAAGCTTACACAAGCTAATTCCCAGTACTACTGTGGACTACAAAGCTTGCAAAAAGTATTTCTCAGTACTACTTTGTACAACAAAGCTTGCAAAAAGTATTTCTCAGTACTACTTTGTACTACAAAGCTTGCACAAAGTACTTCCCAGTACTACTTTGTAGTGCAAAGCTTGCACAAAGCACGTTCCATTACTACTTTGCTTTGACAACCCATGCCTATGTTGATGGCACCATGGAGCTTCCGCAGGCGTAGTGGAAAAAATGTTTTCTGATTTGAGCATGGCTGTATGTTGGGACTTCTGATCAGAGATAAACTCAATTTGGAGCATTTTTGTGGTGCTCCGTTTGTGCTGTCCAGTTGTGGTCACTGTTACAAGGAAGGGGAACATCCTAAGGTATAGTACGGTTCTTAGCCGGGTAAGTGAGTTATACTATACTTAACAATTACTTAACTATATGTATAACTATGTGATATGTCACTCGCATAATCTAACTGGGTTACCCTCTGGTAACCTAACATAGCTATGAACATCACCATTCTGAATAGGCAAATCATATATATATATATATATATGTATGTACATGAATGGGCCATTTCCCATTGCCATGCTTGATTAGCCCAGGGTATACCATGTGAATTAAAACAAAAACGAGCCGTTTCGCCCCCACCTCTGGAAGCGACAAAGTTGGACATCTCCTGAACGCGAGCGTCTTGGCTCAGCCCTGCAACTGCCTGACCTGGGAACAACTGGGCATTGAGGAGATGTTTGTGATGGAAATGGCCCAACACCATCACCAGCGCCAACACAGCACCAGCACGAGCACCATCATCATCAACATCATCCTCATCCTCATCCTCTCCCACATGACGAAACATGTGTCATATGGCTGTGTCTCAACATTGAACATTTCGCCTCAATTTGTGCCAGAAACTGATGATTAACTGGTTTAGCCGAGCGACGGGCCACCAAACTCCTTGGACTGCTCGGGCTGAATCCAAACCTGATCGGTTGAAGCACAGGTCTCACTGGGCGATGCGGTGGTAGATATATTGGGATTGTGATTTGTGTCCTTTTTCTGAAGGAACAACATGGAACAACTAACTACCAGGAAGTACACATGTTTTTTTTTTTATTTGTTTTCCTCAGACATCAGGCTTTCGTTAAATTTTCACACCAATCCAGTGAATATGGGAGTGTCAGACTTGAGGGACACACAAAGTTCATAAAAATCATGCTTTAGAAAATTGTTCCCCTCGGCTATAAATGTGGTACAGTGAAACCACTGTTTAAGAACCTACTGTAATAAGAGAACTTCAGGGGCCTGGATTGCTGGATTCAACCCTTTCTGGCAGCTAAATGAAACCAGAACCCTAGGGTGCCCTGGAATTCTAGCCACTGGTTCTTATTCCCCTTCAACGGGTATCAATATACCAAGCACTGATTATTGATATATGACAAGCATGGTGCGGCCCCAGAAAAATTCGAACCCTTACGCACAGTCATCAAGATTGACGACGACAACTTCAGCCAGACATCGGCCGGACTCACTGAAGGCCATCTGCCCTCGGAGGCTGCCCTTGGCTTGTGTTGGCTTGTCTTGGCTTCTCTTCTTCCTGACCTGCCTTGTTTCGGGTGCCTAAATCAAAAACAAACTTTCGGGACCTGGATTTTTTTTTCTTCCCCCCGCCTCCTTTGCAACCCTAATACCACGCTCAAATAAAC